ACCATTGAAGACTTCCCAGATGAGACAGCCCAAGCGCCACATGTCTGCTGACCTGTGGCAGTGACCCAGAGCTCTTAGGGCCCCACCAAACACCTGTACAGGCCTCCAACCTGCCTTGGGCACCAGGCGCCCACTGCATGGCAGGGCCTGGCTATGTCCCTCAGCTGAGCCATCAGTCCGAAGAGGCAAGTTTTATCAGCCTCACTTAACAGATTAAAAAAACCAAAGCTGAGAGAACTAGGCACATCTGCCCAGGTCACACAGCTTTCAAGTTTGGAATAGCCCAACCCCGAAGCCTGCGTCCATCCTGCCCTACCGCCCTGAGGACCCTGGGGACAGAGGAATGGCCATCACTCCTGGGACACTGATTCCCTCCCCAGCCAGGCAGCAGGGAACAGGGGAATGCCAACTAGTCTAGGGGTCCTGAGGCTGCAGGGGCCTCCAGGACAGGGCAGGTTGGGGCACGCTGCCCCCAGTCACCCACCACTTCTCTCTGACCACTCTGTCACTGCTGTCAGCCAACTCCGGGGGGTCATACTGCTCAAGCTCGGGGATCCCCTTGCGGGGAGGTCCCCCACCGATGCCCTGCGCTGAATACATGTAGTCCAGGCCCCCAAGCTTCCACTCGCCAGCTCGGTCCACGAACACGGCGGCCATGCAGACATTGTTGTGGATGAGGCTGCAGTCGTTGACCAGGAAGCTGAGGGCTTTCTGGGGGCAGAAGGAGCCATCACGCCCCAGCACCTGCAACCCCCCATCCCTGCTCTCATCACCACTGCCCCCACCTTACCACTATCTGGTGTAGCCCCCAGGAGATCTCCAGCTCTTTCAGGCCACCAGCCTCCACTCTCGCTTTGAGGTACATTCCCAGTGGGGTCACAGCCTCTGTCACAACGTGGAGGCATTTTTCTGTCTGGGGAAGGAGACACAGGTATATCAGGGGTGGAGGAGCAGAGAGGAAGGGGAGATAAGGGACTTGATGTGGAGTGAGACGGGGAAGAGGAAACCAAATCTGGGGGTGCTGGGGCACATAGGGTGGAAACAGGGAAGGAGGGAAACAGAAGTGGGTAACCAGGAGATAGTGAGGGACAGAGGGCAGCGGGTACCTCCAGCCCATCTATATAAGCCAGGATGTTGGGGTGCCGTAGAGTTTTGAGGCGCTTGAAGGCAGCTTTGGCCACCTGGGTCTGCTCTTCCGCGCCAGGCTTCACATCATACACGAAGATGGACACCGGGCTGCCTGTGGCCTGGGAGAGGACAGCGGGGCCGAAGATGGTCGCAGAGCTGTTGTGTGGCCGGAAGACAAGGGCCGGCAGCCAGGTATCTCCCAGGTCAGCCTTAGGCACTTCGCCGGGCCCACGTGACCCTGGCCCCTCCGCCTGTCCGTCCCTCGGTCCCTCTGCCCGCCACGTAGGCATTGCCCGCCCCCTCCCCGGCCCGTTGCCCCGAGACTCCGCCGCCACGTCAGGCCGGGCGCGACGCGGCGGGGCCAGCGGTGCGGACTAGGCAAGGCCCAGGTCGCCAGCGGCCTGCCGAGCTCGGCCGCACTCACCTTCTTGCGGCCGCGGTGCAGGGCCCAAGGCCCGGGCGGGCCGCCCTCGGGGAGCTCCGGGATGAGTTCGAACGGGAAGTCCCGGACCGGGTCCCGCGCAAAGAACCACATCGTCCCTACCGCCGCCGCCGCCGCCGCCGCAGGCTCGGGCGCCTCAGCTCCGGGTCCTCCGGCCGCCCGAGCCGGGGCGGGCCGGGGAAGGGGTGGGGCTTGCGTCGAGCGGGGGCGGGGCCCGAAGCGGGGCGGGGCCTGCGTCGGGGCGGGGCAGGACCTGAGTTGGGGCGGGAAGGAGGTGGGGCCGGGCCAAGAGCGGGGCGGGGCGAGGGACGGAGGTGGGGACAGGGACGAGGGAGGGGCGAGGAGATGGGCGGGGTCCGCCGGGGCGGCGGGTGGTGCTAAGACCAACACTCTGCCGCCGGATATGTCACCTAAAACTCTCTAAGCCTGTGAGTCCTTATATCTAAAGGGGCGGGGTAACAGAGCCTGCCTCCTAGCGTATTCTAAGGATGAGAGCTTAAGAACGGACAAACGGATGAGGATACCGACGCAAAAAGGCGGAGGCGTAGTGACAGGCGTGAGGAGGTGCAGTGAGGAGTGAGACAGAGACCCAGTAAGGGAGACTAGCCCCACGCCAGGCACTCGCTCTCACCAGGAAGTGGGCGCCTCCAGGCTCCCGGGAGGAGTCGGTGCTGGTGTAGTGACCAGGACAGAACCAGGAGGAGACGCCCCTCAGAAACAGCGTAGCTCGGCCAGAGAGTGAAGCCAAAGTTCTAGGGAGGTGCAGAGCCCTGGGGGCAGGGGCGGGCATCCAGGGAAGGGAGGAAGGAGAGACTGAGAAGGGAAGAGGAAGTGACCCCAGGAAAGGAGGGGTGGAGGAGTAGCTGGGTAAGTCCAGAAGAGACCCGCATCTCCTCCAGGCCTCTCAGTTCCTGTGTGGTCAGCCATGGAGTGGTGGTAGCTCAATCAGCCCATCATACTGTGGAGATCCGGCCCCTGAGCTATGTAGGAGGGGCTGGACAGGTGGTGGTTCCTCTGCAGGTAGGGTCTCGAGTCCCAGGCTTGGGGATAGTCCCTCAACCATACCCTGTGGAGCACTGGTGAGATTCTGGGACCAGTTATGAAAAGTCTGGTTGGGATGCCTTTGGGAGATAACTCAAGGGCAGAGATGCCACAGTGAGACAGAGCTGGGTTTGAATCATGGTTCAAATCATGGTCCCTCACTGGCTGCGAGAACTCACAGAGTTCCCTCTGGAAGCGTCAGGTCCCCCATCTATAAACCGGGGTGAGGGCTGGACGAGGTGGTTCACGCCTGTAATCCCAGCACTTTGGGAGGCCAAGGCTGGTGGATCACCTAAGGTCAGGAGCTCCAGACCAGCCTGACCAACATGGTGAAACCCCTATTTCTACTAAAAATACAAAAATTAGCTGGGCCTGGTGGCGGGCGCCTGTAATCCCAGCTACTCAGGAGGCTGAGCCAGGAGAATTGCTTGAACCAAGGAGGTGGATGATGCAGTAAGCCAAGACTGTGCCATTGTATTTCGTCATGGAAGACAAAGCGTGACTCCTTCTCAAAAAAAATTAGCCGGGCATGGTGGTGGACACCTATAATCCCAGCTATTCAGGAGGCTGAGGCAGGAGAATCAATCACTTGAACCCATGGGGCAGAGATTGCAATAAGCCAAGATTGTGGCCACTTCAGTTGAGCCTGGGCAACAGAGCAAGACTCTATCTCAAAAAAAAAAAAAAAAAAGAAAGAAAGAAAAGAAAAAAGGAAGCCAGTGACAACATTGTGAATGTGGAATGAGCAATGTTGAGGGTGGAGAATGTCCTGTCCCTGGAGGGAGCAAGCAGGGGTCTTTCTTTTTTTTTTTCCTGTAATGTTTAAAACAAGCAGAGGTCTTTAATGCCAGAATATGGAGTCTAGAATGTTACTGTATTGCAGACATGAGCCACAGCCTGAGCTGTATGTCTGTGAGGGTTGAATGGTGGAGAGGGGGAGGCTGGCGGGTGATGCTCTGGTCACAGTTGGAGGCGAGGGGTCTACACACATAGAGTTCATGCTTGTGGTGGCATTTTGTTAGTGGCACATTCCCTTAGCACCTACCAGATGTCAGGGCTGTGTAGGGCACAGGGCCTTGCCTGGAGAGGAAACAGTACAGGAAGCGCAGGGCCATTGGGCTAGGGGCAGATCTTTTTTTTTTTTTTTTTTTTTTGAGACAGAGTTTTGCTCTTGTTACCCAGGCTGGAGTGCAATGGCGCGATCTCGGCTCACCGCAACCTCCGCCTCCTGGATTCAGGCAATTCTCCTGCCTCAGCCTCCTGAGTGGCTCGGATTACAGGCATGTGCCACCATGCCCAGCTACTTTTTTGTATTTTTAGTAGAGACGGAGTTTCACCATATTGACCAGGATGGTCTCGATCTTTTGACCTCGTGATCCACCCGCCTCGGCCTCCCAAAGTGCTGGAATTACAGGCTTGAGCCACCGCGCCCGGCCAAGGGCTAGGGGCAGATCTACGAGTTCTCAGGGAACCGAGGAACAGCAGGGAGGCAGCGGCCAGTGCTAGTGCAGGTCTGTAACAGGACACCTGGAGATGAAGAGCCAGCAAAGGGAGCTGCCCTCAGATTCTCTGTTAATGAACCCAAAGGCTGCCATCTTAGCATGGGGGCAGCATCCTGTTCTGAAGTTCTCACCTTGCGCCTGCCCCAAGCTCACATGAGCATCTATTTCATCACCTGTCAAATGGGGATAATACAACCCTCTCATCACTGCCCTATGAGGGGGACCATGTTGTTTCCATTTTACAGGTGAGGAAACTGAAGCTGTGAAACCTGACACCATAGGAAGTGGCAGGGCCTGAACACTGTGATGCTCGCTGCCTGCCTCACCAGCCAGGATGAGTTCCAGCTGCCCTGCAAGCTCCGCCATCACCTGTGGGTGTCCTGGGACAGGCCATGGACAGCCATGGGGTCCTCCAGGCCCCCAGGAGCCCAGCTGCTCCAGAGGAGCTGCAGTAGGATGTCATGTGGGCAGAATTTGGAGGCAGTCACCTTGGTTTGCATCCTATTTCTGGGATTTTGGGGAATCACTTTGCCCCCTCTTCCCATCTGTAAAAGTGAAGATAATAAAAGTAACTACAGGCCAGGCAAAGGGGCTCATGCCTGTAATCCTAGCACTTTTGGAGGCTGAGGTGGGAGGCTCACATGCACCCAAGAGTTCAAGTCTAGACTGGGCACATAGCAAGACCTTGTCTCTATAAAAAAAATGCAGAAATTAGCTAGTCATGGTGGTACATTCCTATGGGCCCAGCTACTCGAGGGGAGGATCACTTGGACCCAGGAGATCGAGGCTGCAGTGAACCACGTTATGTCACTGCACTCCAGCCTGGCTGACGGAGTGAGCCCCTGACTCAAAAAAGAAGAGGAAGAAGAAAGTAACTATGGCTCTTTTCCTTCGGCACGCCACTGAAGATCCTGGTGTCACTATGGGCCGCCGCCCCACCCGTTGTTACCGATATTGTAATAACAAGCCATACCCAAAGTCTGCTGAGGTGTCCCTGATGCCAAGATTCACATCTTTGACCTGGGGTGGAAGAAGGCAAAAGTGGATGAGTTTCCACTCTGTGGCCACATGGTATCAGATGAATATGAACAGCTCTCCTCTGAAGCCCTGGAGGCTGCCCGAATTTGCGCCAATAAGTACATGGTGAAAAGTTGTGGCAAAGATGGCTTTCATATCCGAGTGCGGCTCCACCCCTTCCACGTCATCAACAAGATGTTGTCCTGTGCTGGGGATGACAGGCTCCAAACAGGCATTCGAGGTGCCTTTGGAAAGCCCCAGAGCACTGTGGCCAGGGTTCACACTGGCCAAGTGATCATGTCCATCTGCACCAAGCTGCAGAACAAGGAGCATGTGACTGAGGCCCCGCGCAGGGCCAAGTTCAAGTTTCCTGGCCGCCAGAAGATCCACATCTCAAAAAAGTGGGGCTTCACCAAGTTCAATGCCGATGAATTTGAAGACATAGTGGCTGAGAAGCGGCTCATTCCAGATGGCTGTGGGGTTAAGTACATCCCCAATTGTGGCCCTCTGGACAAGTGGCGGGCCCTGCACTCATGAGGGCTTCCCCTGTGCTGCCCCCTCGTAATATGAACCAATAAATTTACTTCTTGTCCATCTAAAAAAAAAAAAAAAGAAAGTAGCTATGGGCCAGGCGCGGTACACACCATAATCCCAACTGTAATCCCAGCACTTTAGGAGGCCGAGGTGGGTAGATCACGAGATCAGGAGTTCAAGACCATCCTGGCCAAGATGGTAAAACCCGATTTCTACTAAAAATACAAAAATTAGCCGGATGTGATGGCAGGTGCCTGTAATCCCAGCTACTTGGGAGGCTGAGGCAGAGAATTGCTTGAACCCAGGATGCGGAGGTTATGGTGAGCTGAGATCCCATTCCAGCCTTGGCGACAGAGCGAGACTCCATCTCACAAAGAAAAAAAAGTAACTCTGCACTGGACTCAGTGGCCCACGCCTGTAGTCCCAGCACTTTGGGAGGCCAAAGCAGGAGGATTACTTGAGCCCAGGAGTTTAAGGCCAGCCTGGGTCACACAGCAACACCCGGTCTCCACAACTTAAAAAAAACAACACATGTAAATGCCTCTCCTTTGTCCCAGTAATTCTACTTCTAGAAATGTATTCTATAAACCCCTCATTCAAGTATGCAAAGATTTATTCTAGGTAGTATAATCATTAGAGCCAGATTGTGAAGCCAGACTGCCTGGATTTGTATTCCAGCTCTGCTACTTATGAGCTAGATAGCCTCAGGCAAGTTACTTATTCCCTTTGTACCTCAGTTTTCCCATGCGTAAAATGGGTAGAGTAATAGTATCTACTCCATAGGCATGGGAGGCAGAAAAATGTCCCCACCAAAGATATCTACCTCCTAATCCCTGGAACCTCTCACCTTACATAATAAAAGAGACTCTGCAGATATGATAAAGTTAAGGATCTTGAGATGGGAGATGGTTCTGGATTATTCTTCGAATGGGCCTGGTATAGTCATGGGGTCCCTACGAGAGGGAGGCAGGACCATCAGCTGTGGACAGGAGATGTAATAATGAGAGCAGGAGGTTGGAGGAAGGTGAGGATGGACCATGAGCCAAGGAATGCAGGTACCTCTAGAAGCCAGAAAAGGTGCAGAAACAGATTCTCTCCTAGAGCTCTCAGAAGGACCACAGCCCTGCCGACACTTTCATTTTACCCTTCTGATCTCCAGAACTGTGAGATAATAAATGTGTATTTATTTATTTATTTATTGAGATGGAGTTTCACTCTTGTTGCCCAGGCTGGAGTGCAATGGCATGATCTCGGCTCACTGCAACCTCCGCCTCCCAGGTTCAAGTGATTCTCCTGCCTCAGCCTCCTGAGTAGCTGGGATTAGAAGTATGTGCCACCATGCCCTGCTAATTTTTTTTTTTTTTTTTTAAGATGAGGTTTCACCATGATGGCCAGGCTGGTCTTAAACTCCTGACCTCAGGTGATACACCCACCTCGGCCTCCCAAAGTGCTAGGATTACAGGCGTGAGCCACCGCGCCCGGCCTATGCCCTGCTAATTTTGTATTTTTAGTAGAGATGGGGTTTCTCCATGTTGGTCAGGGTGGTCTCAAACTTCTGACCTCAGGTGATCTGCCCACCTCAGCCTCCAAAAGTGCTGGGATTACAGGCATGAGCCACCACCCCTGGCAAATGTGTGTTGTTTTAAACCATGAACCTTGTGGTAATTTGTTACAGCATCGATAGGTAACTAATACAATTGGCATGTTGAGAGGATTCATGAGTTAATATGTGGAATTACTTCAGACAGTGTATGGCACTTAAGTGTTCAATAGATGCTGGCTCATATGTAAACCATGGGGCTGTTTGTAATCATGGAAAAATGGAAAATCTGGTTTGAGTTGGTGTTATAGAAATAATAATATGGCCAGGTGTGGTGGCTCATGCCTGTAATCCCAGCACTTTGGGAGGCCGAGCGGGCAGATCACCTGAGGTCAGGAGTTTAAGACCAGCCTGACCAACATGGAGAAACCCTGTCTCTACTAAATATACAAAATTAACCAGGCATGGTGCCATATGCATGTAATCTCAGCTACTCGGGAGGCTGAGGCAGGAGAATTGCTTGAACCTGGGATTACAGGCTTGAGCCACCGCGCCCAGCCAGGATGTCTTCCTTTCAGTACATTAACTGCTAAGTGGCAAATGACTAAGTCGGTTATAAGGAATTTGTACCCTAAGAAATGCTAATTTACATTAACTGTCAATAGAAACCTATAACCTTTACACCCAAGCCTAAAAGTCACTACAGTATTGAGGTCAAAACTAACATGATTCTTCCATTTGGTCAGTTTCCTTTACTAAATAATACCGTCAAGAAATCCAAAGAAGAAACTTCAGTGGTTTCTCCCAAAGCTGCATAATTTTCCAAATGATTTTCTCTGGTTGCAGAGCCTGTTCAGTCCTTCAACCCTTTTTCAGTCATTTAGGTTTTGCAATGTTTTCTTGGCATTTTCGTTTCTTCTCTTGCCCCTTCTCCCTGGCCTCAATCATTCTGGCCAATTTCCAAGACAATACAGCACTTACTAGGAACAGTGGAGTAAGGGCCAAAATAACAGTGGTAAGGAAGCCATATGGGTCCTTTGTAGCCCGTTCCACAACATCCTCAGCCTAAGCCTTCATATCAGCATCTTCATAGCAGTCGTATGAAAACTGGGCTTATGCTTGAGCAGTGACCTCTAACTTCGTCCTGATATTGTTAGTGACCCAATCACGATCTAGATGACCCTTGGTAGACTGTCTTCTTGAGTTCTACTGTATACCTCTGAGAGACGGTTTAAATTCCTATCCAGGCCGCAGATCCACGGGGTCCACGTTGACCCCTGCCCCTCGGCCTTGGCAAGTGCGGGCCCCTTGAGCAGAGCCGAGGGTCCCAGGGGATCATGGAATGGCCCCACCACATCCTGCACTGCCGCAGTTTCTGCTGGGTACCGGGAGAAAACCGCAGCAGAGGCCACCGTGTGGGTCACACCCCCATGGGCACTGAGGAAGGAGAACTGTCCAGACCCCAGGCACAATTAGTGCCTGAAGAATATCTTAGTTTCTAGTGTTATTACTCAGCTATTTCCTTTATATAATCCTTTATATATAATCACATATTAGTGTATAGAATTAGTGCCTGAAGTATAACTTACTGCTTACATATATCTAGCTTATATAATCATACTTACTACTTATATCTAGCATACTTAGTTCTATATAATCTTTCTATATAATCATGTAGGTATTGCAGTCGGAGCTGTACTGACACATTTAGTGCTGATTTATAGAATCCTTCCATAGAACCATATAGTAGTTTGTAGTAGGAGGAATGCCTAGAGCAGTCACAGCACAGAAGCAGTACGTGGGAAAACAGCCAGACCAGGACGAGAACCAAAGATCCAGGCGGTGGCGGCCCTGCCTGAAAGGGCATACGCTGTATGGCAGGCTTGGAACAAGTGTCTCTCCTCCTGATAAAGGAGTTGTGGTACCTTGCATCCAGTTCCTGTGGAAAATCGGCCTCAGGCCTGAGATCCCGGAAGTAACCGAGGGAGAAGAACCCCTCTGGTGTGACTAGGTCGCGGTGGCTGTACACGCTGTCAGTCTTTCCTCACTTCTGTGCTAGCTCAAATCATCCTCCCATAAATATCTGCATTGGCTTACAGCATCCTTCTCTTAGAAATCCTTTGAAGTCTCCAGCCCCTAGATAAGAAGTGTTGCGCAAAACACCTGTTGCACACAGCCCACCTCCTTGCCTCAGTGACCTGATGGGGGTGGACCCCTTTTCTGTACATGTCCCTCTACTACTGCACACGGCATGGCCCCCTGCTGCGCACAGCCCACCTCTCTTCTCAGGTGACATAATGGGGTGGCCCCCTCGTTTGTGACTCACGTGATTATGTATGCCCTATTACAAAGCCTATAGATGATGACCTCACTTACGACCCTGCCCCCTGCTTGTACCTAATAAATACGGACGCTTCTGGGCGTTCGAGGCTCTTGCCGATCTCCACTCACAGGTGGTGTGAGTCCAGATGCTCTTCACCACTTCTTCAGTGTCCTGTCTCTTTACTTCTCAGATCCTGCACCTCAGCACAGCATAGACACCCCACGACCCTGTGGGTCCCAACAGCCCTACACACCAGCCCCCTCTACATCGCCCCAGGGGCTCGGATCCCACTCCCCACTCCCAAAGTAGGAACTTTTTTTTTTTTTTTTTTTTTTTTTTTTTGAGACGGAGTTTCGCTCGTTACCCAGGCTGGAGTGCAATGGCGCGATCTCGGCTCACCGCAACCTCCGCCTCCTGGGCTCAGGCAATTCTCCTGCCTCAGCCTCCTGAGTAGCTGGGATTACAGGCACGCGCCACCATGCCCAGCTAGTTTTTTGCATTTTTAGTAGAGACGGGGTTTCACCATGTTGACCAGGATGGTCTCGATCTCTCGACCTTGTGATCCACCCGCCTCGGCCTCCCAAAGTGCTGGGATTACAGGCTTGAGCCACTGCGCCCGGCCCCAAAGTAGGAACTTTAAGCTTAACTAACAGGGATCCAAATTCTTCAAGGAAAAGTGTGTGTTGCTCGCAGCCCCACTGTAAGATACCAAGAGCTACTTGCTAATGGCCCACACTTTCTTTGTTGATGGCTTACCATAGGAAAAACTTTGGTGGTCCTTCTACTTTCTATTGTGAGGTTTCGGGCATGAAACAGAAAGGCTGCTGTTAAACAATGCTGAATCTTCTATAACAGTTAACCAAATTTAATTTTAGAAAGTACTTAAATTGTGCTCTGTCCTAGATCTACATGTTGAGAATCTTTTTAAAAAAGTTTTAATATCTGCAAAAGCATATAAGAATAACATCAGGCAGCCGGGGGCACGGTGGCTCACGCCTGTAATCCCAGCATTTTGGGAGGCTGAGGTGGGCAGATCACCTGAGGTCAGGAGTTCGAGATGAGCATGGCCAATATGGTGAAACCCTGTCTCTACTAAAAATACAAAAATTAGCCAGGAGCGGTAGTCCCAGCTACTCTACTCGGGAGGG